TCTGCCAGTTGTTGATTCACCGCAGTGCTGGGGGATGGTGACTTGTAATTGGTGATTTCTTTTAGACTTTTCCATACTGATGCGGAGTCAGTGGAAGAGAATTTAATCCTTGTTTTTTTCTGAATAATTCCTCTTTGCCAGTCTGATCTCCTTTTCCAGTGTGTATTTAGCCTGTTTATACAAGACATTATCCCCCTTCCTGTGAGCATCTTCTTTGGCCTGACGGAGCTGTCTGAGTTTTGCAGTGAACCATGGTTTGTCGTTGTTGTAGGTTAGATGAGTCCTGGTAGGAATGCACATGTCTTCACAGAAACTGATATAAGATGTTACAGTCTCTGTGAGCTCGTCCAGATCGGTGGCAGCAGCTTCAAAGACGCTCCAATCAGTGAGGTCAAAACAAGCTTGTAAATCCTGCTCTGCTTCATTAGTCCATCTTTTTACAGTCCTTAATACAGGTTTAGCTGATTTCAGTTTCTGCCTGTAGGTCGGTATAAGATGAACCAAACAGTGATCAGAGAGCCCCAAAGCTGCCCGTGGAACAGAGTGATATGCATTCTTTATTGTGGTGTAACAGTGATCCAATATATTACTGTCTCTAGTGGGACATGTGATGTGCTGTCTGTAATTTGGCAGTTCACGGGAGAGATTTGCTTTATTAAAGTCCCCGAGAATGATTAAAACAGAGTCCGGGTGTTGTTGTTCTGTGTCTGTGATCTGATCAGCGAGTTTCTGTAAAGCGGAGCTCATGTGTGCTTGCGGAGGAATGTAGACACTGAAGAGAATGAACGAACAAAACTCCCACAGCGAATAGAACGGCTTGCAGTTAATGAAGAGTACTTCTAGATCTGAACAGCACATCTTCTTTAACACAGTTACATCTGTACACCACCTCTCATTGATGTAAAAGCATGTCCCGCCGCCACGTGATTTCCCTGTTGATTCTGCGTCGCGGTCCGCTCTGAACAGCTGAAAGCCCGGGAGACTCAACGCGCTGTCCGTAATGGCGTCTTTCAGCCAGGTTTCCGTGAAACACAGAGCAGCAGAGTTTGAAAAATCCTTATTTGTCCGGGAGAGCAGAAGGAGTTCGTCCATTTTGTTGGGTAGAGAGCGGAGGTTGGCCAGATGGATGCTCGGCAACGACGTTCTGAATCCGCGCTGTCTGAGCTTGACGAGCATGCCGGCTCGCTTCCCCCGTCTGCGCGTCCTGAAGCGCTTGATCAGCACAGCAGCTCCGCCGACTACAATGTCCAGCAAAACATCAGAATAGTCGAAAACCGGTGAAATATCGGGTGGTGTGTACTGCCGAATGTCCAGCAATTTGTCTCTGGTGAAACTGATTGCAGGGATATAACTAAAGACAGGACAAACTAACAAAAACATAAAAACAACTGCGGAGCACGCCATGGAGGCAGCCATCAGCGTCGGCGCCATCTTTTTTCGCCAGTCTTTGCTAGTCAGGAATTACGGTGAAACATGACTTAAAGGGATAGTTCACCCAAAAATGTCACACGCCGGCTGTTGAGAATGCGCTCAGGACAGTTCAGACATTGCAGTGAATCAGAGGTAAAAAATTATATAAATACTGTTCAGTTTCTTGCACAGACCGATTGTTTCGGGTCTTTACACATCAATGTATCGTCACTAGCCGCAGTGTTTAATTTGGTTTTGTTTGTGAATGTTTTTTTGACTCTCAAAGCCGTGATTCCCATTCACTTCCATTATATGACTGACAGACTGCAATGGTTTGAGTTAAAAATCTTCGTTTGTGTTCTACTGAAGAAACAAAGTCACCTACATCTTGGATGCCCTGGGGGTAAACAGATAAATATCACATTTTAATTTTTGTGTGAACTATCCCTTTAAATTACATGAGACAATATGGAGGATGGTAATGACGGTCAATGTAAAACTGGTCCGTATTGGTTTTAAGGTGGGGTTAGTGAAGGATCAGTTGCAGACACTCTTAACTGTACTGGAGTCAATCCTCAGTACCTGTGCTGCTGTAGAAAGCTAGTTTTGAGGTGGTGTGAAACTCCTGAATGAGGAACTGAGACAGAGAGATCTTCTCATCTGTCTGCAGAGATTTGTTTCCTCTCTTCCAATACAGCATGAGGTCGTCATCAGTATAGGCATCTGAAAATAAAATAACACCATACAAATGATCTCACAAACACCGAAACACTAAATAAATACGGAATATCCTGCTTTACTTAAAATTATGTCACATTACTGTTGTTTGATTCATTCATGAAAATCAGTTGTGTTGTGTTTAGACTCACAGCTCTCAATCTCCAGTGAGCATGTCTGGGTGTCCAGGGGAAAGTGACTGAGATCCATATTGCACATCGCTGTGACTGTAACCCTGTTGAATGTGTTTGGAGTAATTAACAAATCCACAATATGTAAACTGTCTACTTTATTTTAGCGATTTCAACTGAAAATGACTATACTACGTGGGCTGTAAGCCCATGAGGAATAAATAAATAAAATATAAATAATCAAACATTATTTCATTTATTTCATTCATAATCCTGTTATTTGTTTCCAGGGGGAGGAGTCTTGTTAACAAATAGGCTTTGAACTGATGTAGGATCCTGCATTTTTGCTATAGTATTCAATATGCTACTATTTCAAACAAGCAACATAGGTTCATTGGAAAAACATGCCTCTACCTACATGTTTGTAAAACTCCAAAACTGTACCTATACATACAATTCACTGCAGTTTCCAGCTGAAATGAACACTAATGGCAGCAAAACAGCAACAACTTTTATTCCTTTTTACACAAATTATGATTACAGGGGCGGACATCAATTAACAAAGGCTTATTTTCATGTGGCTCCTCTAAATACTTCTATCATAGTGCATGATTTGTAAATACATTTTGATGTTTGCATCACATAATCAGCTCCACATTTATGACATTTCTGCCATATAAACTTGCTCGGTAGCTCAACCAGCACTGCAATTACATTGTAAAGTGCTCGGATACAAGTCCTATGAAACACGAGTCACAATATAAGAGCTCAAAGACTTGCTAAAGCAGGCTAAAATGGTATAGTTGCTTTAGCAAATGTGTTTTTATCACATGTTTGCTTTTGTTAACACTATTAGTTAGGTTTAGGCTAGGGCTTAGTGTAGGTTGCATGTAATAGGGCATTAACAGTATAATATCTGTTTTGGATAAAACTGAACGCAATTTAAGCACCGATCACAGGACATTTCACTATAAAAGTGTTATGCAACATTCAAGAAGCATTTTGTCTTCTCAAAAAGGTTCAGAAAAAGACATTAACTTAGGTTAATTACTGCCATTTGAGGCCAAGGATCAGGATTGATGTGGAGATACTACATAGCTCCCCCAACAAAATAACGCAGCTACCACTGCACCACACTAAAAGGCTGGTGAAAAAATGCTGTGTCATTAGATTTGTGCTAATTCATCGTTTCACAAACCAAGGATTTCTTTCCTTGAAATCCACAATCAGTGACACACACTATTATTAAACTATTAAAACACATTATTTTCCACATACTGTACATTATTGTTTCTCCTCTATGCCCCGCCTTTCTGAAACACATCGAGTTTTACAAAGCTCATCGGTCTGAAAAGCGAGGTGTGCTGTGATTGGCTGAATACCTCAAGCGTGTGATGGAAATGTTACGCCCCTACCATACTGTGATGCCATGTCCGGCCGGAGCGATGAGACAAAACCAATAAAACCCATTATAAACGAGGCATTCGTTGCATCCAGTGGGGACATAATTACTGATTATAATGACTTATACTGTCTTTTTACACGTTGCAACGCGCCGCGTAAACATAAAACCATGTCTGCATTTGTGATCGGAGAAATGACAAACAACAAGCACTACTCTACACTGCTCAAAACTCACGTTTGAATCATCAGTGGAAAATCCTTTAAATATGAAAAACGAACTTACAGGGTGTGAGTCAGCATTATTTGTCAGCATCATAGACTGTATAGGGTCAGCATGCACGCCGAAGGGGAAACAGGGGAACTGAATTCACCGGAACACCTGAATCTGAATATTTGGGTTGAACTGTTCTGGAACAGTGTTGTAAATACAACTTAACCACTGATTTCTAGTTGTGTCATCTTTTGGAAGACCAAACAAAGTAGTTTTGCTTTCACAATGAAACACACAGCGTCTCCACAACATGGCGGCGGCGGCAACAACAATACTACAGCGAGAATCAAAGTTATGCTTTCATTCTTTGTGTGAACATTTGGGCGGCGTTATGCAAATCTTCCCACACAGTGATGTAGACATGTGGGGGCGTGTTATAACGAGGCGTTTTAGGTAGGCGTGGACGAGTCTTAACTTTTATAAAGAATATCTCTTTGGTTTTGAGACTTTAGTCTTTGCAACTTCAGGGATCTTATCTATGCCCAATCAGTTTGTAACACTCCAAAGAGAAAGGAAAACTTGAAATCGCATCATATGACCCCTTTAAAACATCTGTGTGTGACATAAAAATGAAAAAAATGATTATAGGCTGCCACTTGCTTATTACGGAAATTTCTATCTTCTTTTCACAGCATCATGCTGAGGAGGATGAATATGACCCACTAATCTTTTCAGAGGCATTTAAATATGAGAAACCTGAAACAAGAAAACTTAACCAGGGTGTTACTGAAATTTGTATGGAGCAAGTTCCTGTCTACACATTCGGAAAACACATATCCTAGCAAATGTTATAACAGTTTAACCTCAACCATCAGCTTCCAAGTCAAAATTATTTCACGTACACAGAGATACATCTATAATGAATCACCCCGTAATCTAGCATCTCTGAGAGAAACCGTTGCAAAACTGATCTGTGGACACGAAGAGAACTCTGCAGCATATAAATAAATAATGGAAACTGCAATCCTGGTCTCTTGGATGTTGTTGAGATAACACACAGATAACACACCGCTAAGAAGCTTTTGAAGAGAAATTTGGAGAAAAATGGAAGAAAAAATCTGCGTTTCAGGCACAATCTCCATTTTGCTGTGAACGAAGCAATATAAAAAAAAGTGTGTCTGCATTGCTGTCAAGGTTTCAAAACCCATATCTGCATTCACCAGATAACCAATGCGTTCGTGTCATCTGGCCAAAAAACAGAAAGACTTGTCCCTCCCAGACCATAAGTTCTTACATGATGAACCCACTCGCTGGAATTCATCTTTTATGGTATGGTGGAACTGTTTTTGAAGCAGCTGCAGGCTGTGTGTGCTGTGCTGGTGGAAGACCGAATTAAATTAAGTTCCTAACGCAGGTTCGGGAGGAGCGTAATCATCCAGTCCTGTCAATCAGCGTTACGACCATATATAAGCAGCAGCCATTGCTCCGTTCCAGTGACAATTCTTCCGGCACCCCTACCTTCTCCTCCTCTAATTCCTTCTTTTTTTCCTCCACACTGTACCATTATAGGGGGGTTTATAGCTCGAGCCCAGCCTCGGGTTTCGAGCTTCCTTCGCGGACAGCAAGTTAAGTTTGTTTACCATTACCTGGCAGGGCTGAATGGGCAGGCGAACTCGTGAAATGGCATCAGATGCCAAAAGCTATGACTGTTATAGATGCACTTAGGAGTGTGAAACATATTACCCTGTCCTTAGCCTTTCCATTTATTTGGAAAATGCAGCCAATGCTGTAGTCATGTAGAACAGGGTGACTCTGCACTATCCCTCGAGGTAAAGGTAAAGATCAGTGAATATCTTGATTTGTAAGCAAATGCAGCAGCTTTTAAACACTGTCTCTTAGCTTTATTCAAGGTTTGACCACTTTGTGTCAAGAATGCAGGACAGTAGATCTCCAGGAGCAGGATTGGAGACCCCTGGCCTAAAGCAGTGGTTCCCGAACACTTGCAGGGCTTTGAAAGAGAAGCAAGGACTCATAATGCAGAAATAATGTCCAGAAAACTAACATGAACCACCATTGTTGTTCAAGAGCATGTTCTTCTTTTTTGCTTTTGTATCGAAATGTATCTCATTGATTTATCTTACTGTGTTTCTGTAGGGTCATTTTTATGCATTCATATGTTTATGCATTCATATGTTTTGCACTCGTCAAGCAATTTCAATGTGTCTTTAAGATATAAATATGAGGACAGAAATTACTGTACAATTTTGTTATGGTGAATACTTATTCTTTAACAAATTTGTAGTTATTAAAAATCAGGTTTTTTTGTTGCTTTGTCATTATGAAAAAAAACAAAAAACAATATTGCCTAAGTCTGCAACATAAACTGAAACCATGAAGGGGTTAGACTACTTTCTGAATGTGCTGTATATAGCAAAACCCTACAGATGGCCATCTGGCCTTGGATAAAAGGGAAGATTCTAGATGAAATGGTTGAGAGGATGTAGGGAGAAGATGGCCTTGACACAACGGATTGACTTATAGATTGTAAGTCGACATGTACATAGAAGAATAAATTAATTCTGTCCAGCAGACTGGGTGCGGGACGTTTCTGAGATTAAAACTCACCAATGAGCCAGCTTTGTGTCTGAATCTACATGTGGCTTGCATTAATCCCACAGATTCCCACATATTAATCCACACGTTCACTCATCTAAAGCAAAAACTAGGATCAGCACCTCTTAGAGATGACAGATCTTGGTCAACAAAAAAACGTAATAGCAAACATGGAAATCCTAAATGTCAGAAAAATGACTGCTGGTTTACATCAAAGAGGTTTGATAGAAAAACAAGATCTTTTGGTTTATTGAGCGAATATGAGTCTCTCTCACTGATTAGGTTTAGACCCAGCAATGTCATGCATCTACAGCAAAGCCGGACGTAACATAACTCTTCTGATGGCTGGCAATCTGTTTCTCGAGCTTTGATGGGGATTATATTGTGTGTTTCCGCAGTTCGGAGAGGTCAGTTGTTAAATACAAAACGAAAACCAAAGCCTGAATAAGAGCCTGTCAGAGCTTTGAGGTAAGATCATCAGAATGTATGTGCATGTGAGTAATTTGTGACACTTACCTCAAGCTGTAGAGCACTTTGCCATCAGGATGCACTCGGAGCATGACGTTCTCTGTGGTGGTGTCATGGATGAAGGATCGTTTGGAATGGACAAAAAATATGTCAGGTACCCAGATTTTCTTTACCAGCCGGCCATCAAAGGTCATGCTCTGGTTGGTGTTGCTGGGAAAGGACAGTCGCTCGTCCTTCCAGTAATGTCTCAGGTACAGGGTTATGGTGAAGTCCTGTAGCATACAATCCAATCAGCCATGCATCTTAAAGGATTAGTTCACTTTCAAATAAAAATGTCCTGATAATTTACTCACCCCCATGTCATCCAAGATGTTTACGTCTTTCTTTCTTCAGTAGAAAAGAAATTAAGGTTTTTGATGAAAACATTCTGGGATTATTCTCCTTATAGTGGACTTCAACGGCTACCAAACGATTGAAGGTCAAAATTACAGCTTCAGTGCAGCTTCAAAGGGCTCTACACAATGCCAGAGGAGGTATAAGGGTCTTATCTAACGAAACGATCGGTCATTTTCTAAAAAAAAAAAAGTATATGCTTTATAAACAAAAATGCGCACCTTGCACTGCTTTGCGATGCGCGTCCATGGCTTCAAGTAATACGTAATTACGTTGAAAAGGTCATGCTTGACGTAGGGGGAAGTTAGGTTTCAAAAGATTTAAACATCCAGGATACACACACGAAGTGAACAATTTAAACGATAAACTGACACAAAGACATTTGAATATGTGACAACAACTTTTGAACGGTACTCCTTCTCTACATTTGTAAACACTGAGTCGGTACTTCCGCCTACGTCAAGCGTGATCTTTTCAATGTAATTATGTATTACGTGAAGTCAAGTAGTCAAGCAGTGCAAGGTGCGCGTTTTTGTTTATAAAGCAAATTATTATATATATTTTTTTGAAAATATGATGATATCGTCTGGTATCGTGTAAAGCCCTTTGAAGCTGTATTGAAACTGTAAGTTTGACCTTCAACCGTTTGGTAGCCGTTGAAGTCCACTATAAGGAGAATGATCCTGGAATGTTTTCTTCAAAAACCTTAATTTCTTTTCGACTGAAGATAAAAAGACGTAAACATCTTGGATGACATGGGGGGGTGGAGGGGTGAGTAAATTATCAGGAAATTTTAATTTGAAAGTGAACTAATCCTTTAACAACTGATTCTAAACAGTTTATACAGCAGCTTCATTTCTATCCCAAGAGCCCTCTATAAGAAAAAAAAAAGTGTTTGTCGACACATCTAGGGTGCTTGGAAAGGTTACTGGATGCTGAATTAGAGCTTTTGCCCTAATACAAATCCTGTGGCGCAATCTCCGAGTGGAAAAGATCATGATAGCCCTGAATCATTCATGATGCACTCTGAAATCTGTAAGCCATATTTATGTCAGTCTCCTACCATATCTACTTCAGAGATGGTGTCCAGACTCTCAAGCTGAACATCAACACCCACAGGTATCGCAGGCCCTGAAATGAAGCAAAAATGAGCTTTAAACTGTTTTATAATGCACTCACTGTAAAAAACGTAGTCGATTTAAACTTATAACACCAAATGTAATTAATCTACTCAACAAATCTATCCATTTATTAACCACTTCAATAACTTTAGTGTGATCTGAGCAATAGGTTTTGATAGATAAGGTAAGATGCCACATCGGCTTAAGGTGGTCAGGCTGGTTTTTGGTGGTCTACCACCCCATGCCATAATACCAAACCAGGATGATCAAGGTCTACAACAAGGATGGTTACATCTGGAGGGCAACTTTCCAGCGGAGTTTAACTCCAGCCCTATATAACACCAGCTATCAAGGTCTTCAGGATCACTACAAGGGTATGTTGGAGCAAGTTTGTGCTAAACTCCAGGATAAGATTGAACACCACTGGGCTACAGGATTAACCTCGGCTGCACCAGCTGCTGGTCCATCTGATCAATTATCTAGATCAACTTGGAGCAGCTGATCAGAGTAACACATTGACTACCATATGGAATCACATGTTACAATATGGCTATTAGCAAATGCCCAGGCTCTAACTGCTATATGACATGTTCATGTAATATAAAGATTAAGGATCATAGCCCATCACAATAGACTTAAAAGTGCTAAAAACTTCACTTGAAAGTCTAATAATCTAATATGGCAAGATAAAATGGAATGGTATATAAAAGAAAACACTCATAGAAAATTAAATCTCCCCAAAATACATGCTTTTTGTAATTGACCATCCAGTCATCTTTTAAGTACCACAATAAAAGTTTTGTCTTTGTAATTATGATTCTTGGTGATCTGGCTGGCCACTTCTTAGCAAACTTCATCAGCATTTAATATACTGTATATTTAAGAGATTATCTCAAATGAATTAACTAAACAAGCTATTAAACTTTCATGTTCTAATTTAGCACTCAGCAAGAAAAAAAACTTGCATGAAACTTGTGAAAGGCAAAAGAAATGAGTGAAAACATGAAATGTCCTTTCTTCAATTTAGGACAATATTTTCATAACCCTTAATCTGGTTTTGATCTGACTGTAGTATTTACAGATGGTGTGAACTTTAGTGAAGATACGGGCAGATAAGTGAATGCTTGTGGCACAGAGCCACAGTAAATCAGTGTCATAATCTGGCCTGAGCTTATGTAAAGCTGATTGCATGTGATGTCAGTTCAAACAACCCAACCGCTGGGTCAAAACTACCCAACCGCTGGGACAAAACAACCCAACTGCTGGGTTTGTCCCTTTTTAACCCAGCATTTTTTAGAGTGTAGGTCATGCGTCTTTGTTCTAAATGTTTCAACAATCCTAAAACTTTGAGGTTTTATTTCTTTATTTTTGATAGAATGGTACAGTTTGCATGAATTCAGCTAAAAAAAGAAATTGTGCAGACAAGTATATTTAATGTACATTTTGCACTTTCAACCTTTTCAAAGTTTTTTTTCACACCTTTAATTTCCTTCTGTCTTCATTTCTTTCTTTCTGGCAGAGAGTTGCTAATAAAACAACTAATTCGTGCAACACATCCCATCTACCCTTCAGCGCGCGTCTACATCTTCTTCATCAGTTATTTATTGATTCACGATTGTCATGAATAATGGTTGAATGCATGAGTGAGGTGATGCACTCACCTGGTTTGGCTGCATGTCTGAAGCACCTGTCCGCGCAGCTGCAGCGCTCCAGTGGAGAAAAAGCACGCGCAGAGCAGAAAGCAGACATCAGCGTGCATGATGCCCACATCAAACTACAGTCAAGAGAATCCTGTTACAAGCTATTAAAACAGCACTGAGGAGCTCTTGAAGACAGCCTGTGAGGACGTGCCATCGACCGCAGTCGCGCTGCAGGCGTCCAGATGCGTTTAATCTGCATTAATGTGAAGGTCAGATCTGCTGTTTGCTGCAGCCTTGCTTTCTCGCATCCAGGAGGAGCTTTCGCAGGTTAGAGGGTGAAACAGACATTTGCTGGCCGTATATTATGTAATGTTACATGGTATTACGCGCGATCTGAATTACACTTACATAACCGAGTGGTATAGTCACTCAGCATTGTTCTAATTTCTTCCAAATGGTATTTTTAGAGGCATTAAAATGAAAAATTGATCAAATAAATCAGATTGAATATTCATTCAATATATGGGGAGTATAAATTGAAAAGAGCTACAACGACCAGCCAAAAGATTGGAGAGTTTACTAAATTTCTTTCTGGTAATCAAATGTTTCTGATCCTCCTTCAATACTGAAGTCCAGAGTGTCCCGAGCTGGAATCCAAGCGAAAAAGTAGTTTTTATTTACCTGCTTAACTCCCTTAATTCCTTTTGGGGTATTTAATTTATTGATTTTAGTTTATTCATTTAGGCTATTATTCTAAAACATGGAAAACAGTCACAATAAAGAATGAATGGGTGTCCAAACTTTTCACTGGTTTAATGTTTGTGGAGAATAAATACCATAGTACTAAATCTGATACCAGTTTATAATTCATACCTTTTTCCTTTCACAATATTTCACATCAGCGTGCCTGATGCTTTTGCATAATAGGTTCAAATTTTCTACATAAGTTTGAAAGAAATCTCTTTAAATTCCAAAATGTCTAGATAGTTATCAAAATAAATAATTTTATGCATATTCAGTAACTATAAACATGCCACGACTGAAGAGATACATAACTGTCACAGTACAGAAGGAGACCAGGGACGGAGAGGTAAAGTAAACCAAGAGCTTTATTGAACAGGTGCTGGGAGAGAGATATCGAGAGCCAACGGGTTAGAGCAACAGTCTAAGGAATGGAAGGGATCGGGCTCACGTGATGACGGGTTCCTTTGTGGATCAGGCTGACGAGGATGGCACAGAGACAGGACGGTATCAGGATGGCGTCCGGGTTCAGTGAGTCAGGTAAGGAGTACACTCTTAAAAATAAAGGTGCTTCAAGCGATGCCATAGAAGAACCATTTTTGGGTCCGCAAAGAACCATTCAGTCAAAGGTTCTTTAAAGAACCATCTCTTTCTTACCTTTTTGTAATCTGAAGAACCTTCTTTCATCACAAAGAAGCTTTAGTGAAACAGAAAGGTTCTTCAGATGTTAAAGGTTCTTTATGGAACCATTTAGACAAAAAGGTTCTTCTATGGCATCATGAAGCACCTTTATTTTTAAGAGTGTAGCATAGTGAACTGTAGATCAGACAGTGAGGGACTGAAAGGAGCGTGCTTTTGAAGGTGGCTTGATTGGTGGCGGTAGGTGCAGGTGATCAGAATCCAGGTGAGTGAGATCTGGTGAGATTGGTGATTGTGAATGTGAACTGGTGTGAGCCGAGGAGGATTCTGGGATATGGAGTCCAGAGCTGGTGACAGATGACAGATACTCCCTGACAATAACAAGGTGCATATACATTTATGTAATTAATTTAGTCAAAGCTCTCTTTATTCTTTAACTCTTGCAAAGATCATAAATAGTTTTTATGGCTATTTGGTACAATGTATAGATTTGACATGCTGCACGGTTAATTCAACTTGTTTTACTTCTGCATTCACATACATTGCATGTGTATTTTTGTGTCTCTTGTTTAAACATGTTTGTTCTAATGGATCAAACTGATAGATTTTTCCATTGACCAATCTGTGATTGTGCCATTGTCCAGGGCTGATGCTAATGCTTTGCTATTATAAAGGGCAATTTGTTTGAATACTAACGTTCAAATCCTTGACCAACAGTCATAAAAAGCACACGATACTTTAGCAAACACAGTGTCTTCAGCTTCAGCTGGGTTACAAGTCTGACTCTAACCATTAGCCCCCTCAAGCCCCAGAGCTCAGTCCTGTGTTGGCACCAGCCTGTGAGTTCCCTGCATGTCCTGTCTCAACCACAGAGGACATAATTTTGTTTTCTGCATGTCCTGTTCTTTGTCGGGTCTTGTCCTTTCTTGGATGTTGTGTTGGCTGCCTCTGTTCTGTTCCTGGTTGCTACTCCTTGTCCTTGGATTATTGTTTGTTTAATAAATGCAGCATGTGGATCCTACTCTCCCTCGTCCCAGCAGCCATGTCCTACAGTAACCAGTGTTTATGAAATACTAAATGATACAGGATTATGTCAGAATAATGTCATTTCTTTTCTATTGAGGTTGTAAACAGAGTGCAGAATTGTAATTGTAATGTTAATTTAAGTAGATAGAATTAAAATTTAATGCAATTCATATAACTGTGGTTTTCAATAGGTACACCTTTACCTAAAGGGTCCATATTGGTACCTAAAAGGTGCAAAAATGCTACAGTGACAGCTTTTGTACCTTTTCTTCTGAGAGTGTAGAAAAAAAGGTGACTTCATTTTAAATTAAACACAAGAGCTGTTAGTTTTGAATGATGTGATTTGCAAATAATGTGCTTGCAGTTTTGCAGACTTGGTCTGAAGTTTTGACATATGAATGAATAATATGTTGACTGTACTTAGCGTGTGTGTGTGTGTGTATGCGTGTAAAGAATTTAAAAAAAAACAAAGAAAGATTAATACAAAGTTTGAATTACATTTACATTACATTACATTTACATTTAGTCATTTAGCAGATGCTTTTATCCAAAGCGACTTACAAATGAGGACAATGGAAGCAATCAAAATCAACAAGAGAGCAATGATACACAAGTGCTTTTTTTTTTTTAAGAAAACAAGCAGCAAATGAATAGAGTGCAAGTCTAAAAGGGCCAAGTGTTTTTATTTTATTTTTAAGAATATAATTAGAATAGAGAGTGCTAGAGTTATAGGGTCAAATAAAGATGGAAGAGATGTGTTTTTAGCCGATTCTTGAAGATGGCTAAGGACTCAGTTGCTCGGATTGAGTTGGAAAAGTGTGGTTAAATGAGTTGGAAATGTGTTGAACCAAAGATATTTTTGTTGAATAAAGGTTTGATGTTTGTATAACTGAGCTAATAGTTTTGATAAATATATTATATGTTTAAAAAAAAATACAGTATGTTTTAACAATTGGAAAAAATTGCATTACATGAGAAAAAGTAATAATAGAGTGACATGAGAGATCACAGAGTATAAATTCAGTTGAGACTCAAGATATTCTTTACATAACGTACCCAGTGTAAAGGCCTGAGCTGCTTGATTTGAGTTTCAAGGGTTTATTAATCAAATGCACATCAAGCAGCATGTAACAATAATCACTGGCAATAGGCTATTAATGGAATGTTTGCAAAACATCAGCAAATAAAAACCCTCATTCTGA